GTTCGTTCGGTGCCTTGCTCAATGATCTCACCTCAGTCGTGGTATTGAGGGTGGAAGAGAGCGCTGGTTATTCACTCCCCCCACCAACAATTCCTGCCGGACATGAGACTCGAACCCGCAACCTTAAGGTTACAAGTCACTCTCTCTAACCATTAGGCCACGACTGCCCCATTTAGTTGTTATTCATTGAAACCCCCTCTGCCGTAGCTCTCCTTTGTGGTCAGAAATATTCAAAGCTTGTGTATGTGCATTCACTAAAGAGATTCAAGGATCTACTGGTGGGCATGATTACTCAAAGCTATCATATAACTTCAGAAGACTTGAATAATAAATATAGTGAATATAGTGCTCAAGTCAGATGGACTAATTTTATTATGGTGCTTTTTTTTTGGAGCTGTATTTTCCCTATAAATATTCCCTTTATTGTATGGAAAACAGCAGCTATGACAGGGGTGTCCAGTCCTGCTCTAGGAGGGCCAATATCCTGGAGTTTTGCTCCAGCCAGCTGCAACACACTTGCCTGGGAGTTTCTAGTGAGTCTGAAGAGCTTGATTACATTGGTTCAGGTGTGTATAATTAGGTTGGAGCTAAACTCCGACCAGTGGCCCTCCAGGAACACGTTTGGACACCCCTGAGCTAAGACATTCTGATAAACATCCTGTTTTGTATTCTATTCAAGAAAGAAAGTCATACAGATAGAACATTTAGGTTTAGCAGATTGGTAACCATTTAAGGAATATCTTCATTTAATTGAACGTAGACAAACTTTGTAAAAGTTGTTCCATGTTCATGTTCGGCAAGAATCTGACCACTTATAATGAAAGGTCATGTGAAACTCTGCTCGGTATGCGTGACAATGCAGTATTGACTATGTAATCTCTTACTCTTGTAGATATAGAGTTGCTGGCGGCGTGCCGAGAAGAATTTCATCGTCGTCTGAAGGTGTACCATGCCTGGAAATCAAAGAACAAGAAGCAAAATACAGACACCGAGATGAGGGCTCCCAAATCGGTCACTGACTATGGTAAGATATGACCTGTTTCCCCTAGAGAACGGCCTGCACGGTGGCGGAACAACAGAATACAAATTGCTCTGTGCAGTCGTGTGTAGCTGATGATTTCATTTGTAATGGCAAAAGGTGATTCAGCATAATATTTATTCTAGAAAGATACTAGTCTAAACTTTTTTCTTATGCGAATGTGTGTTGCAACAATTTTTCAAGGTTGAATGTGCACTTTTTGTTTGTTGTTCTTTTCACGAACCTTGCAGCGCATTTTGTGATTAGCGTTAGCATTGTCATGCACAATGCAGACAGCTAAAAGCACATCTAAAGGCACTAGCTGCTGTTTCAAGGAAATCAAACCTCTCGTTGATTTTCCTACTTGAAAGGCAAGTCACTGTGTTTGGTTGCTGGAAAACTTTAGTGCTTTTTAAGTGTTTGCTTGTGCAGAACAAACAGGAGATTTAGAGTTCTGTGACCTGCAGGTTCTCTTCAAACTTTCCGGCTCTCTTGTTGTGAAGTCCTCAGATGTGTCTTTCCTTCAAACAGTGGAGTGTTTGTATCAGGTGCATGGGGCTTATGCTGCTTCTCTCCGAGAGATGAAATCAGGCTTCTGGCTTTGCAAAGTCAATACTGAAGCACTGAGAACTTCTCTGAGAACTTTCTTGACATTATGCCGACCTCCGAAGCTGTTTGATCTTTAGGGATGACTGATTTAAAAGTCATTTATGTCTGGTTGATATATATTTGTGAGCATAAAGTATAAATAGATGGTTTGATATAAAGAATTTGATTTGAACATATGCTACTTTGGTGTTTAACTCAATACTGTACCATTTGTGCTACAGACACGAATGATATCTCAAATCATATAGCGTGTTGAGATGTGAAAAGAGTCCCATTTTACATGAGAAGGACCTGAAAAGAGTTATATAGACTGCAATATCATATGCAACCTGGTCTTCAATGGAGAACTTGAAAGGAAAATAGTCTACTTGGAGATATGGTGCTGATATGCTGAATTTCAGGTTCATTTTGATGATTTACCAAAGCCATGTAACCAGTGAATGGCCTTTAATTTTTCGGAACCGTTCAGTTTTTCTGAAGTCCAGTTCGTGACAGGCTCCGAGATTGGTCCAATCAAGCTCTGGCACAAGAACCAAAACCATTGTGGTGGGCAAGGGGTGAGCTTTTGGGGTTGAGCTTTTGAGTTAGACCTAGAGGTCTGCACTCTGCATTACCAAGTGCGGCACGGCACAACTTTTTAATTGCTAAGTGTGGGAGAGAAATGTGTGTGTGTGTGTGTGTGTGTGTGGGGTGGGGTGGGGGGGGGTGATAATAGGAAAAAATAAACTGTGGCCCTGACGCAGAACAAAATCTTACAGGAGAGGGACTGAAAATTCAAGTAGACCTTTATCTGCTGGTTTTTGTGAGTGGGACAAAATGTGAAAGTCATGGTTGGGACAAATCATTAAAAAAAAATTTCCTGGAGTGGGCGGGAGAGAGACAGAATCTTGCCGGAGCGGGACTAAAAAATCCATCCCATGCAGAACTCTAGGTGGACCACCAAAAACAACCAAAAAAAAAATTTACTCCGAGCACCTTAGCAATTGCATTGCAACCACCCCAAGCACCCTAGAGTCAATGCAGCAAGTTTCGAACGGACAAATACCTTTATCAGAATTTTTTTTAGAAAGTTTTGTTACTGTTGTAATTTTCTCTTATATTTCTTCAGCCCAACAGAACCCCGCTCCACCCGTCCCAGCCCGGCAGCAAGAGATCGCAATGAACCGACAGCAACGTTACTTCCGCATTCCCTTCATACGACCCGCGGACCAGTACAAAGACCCCCAGAACAAGAAAAAAGGCTGGTGGTACGCTCACTTTGATGGGCCCTGGATCGCCAGGCAGATGGAGCTTCATCCAGACAAGCAGCCGATCCTCTTGGTAGCAGGTGCCAAAGGCCTTCTTCAGCACTACCTAATGTTTTGATAAGATAAAACAGTAATTTTCCTCTACCGTGAACAATGAATTCTTCAGAATAGAAGTAGGATTTGAAAGATAAAACAGCTGAAACGGTTACTGGAAAATACTCTTATCTGTGGATGTGAGGTGTGTACCCAGGCATAGCGTGATGCCTTTAATCTTTTTCTGTACCCAGGTAAGGACGACATGGAAATGTGCGAGCTGAGTCTGGAGGAGACCGGGCTAACGCGAAAACGTGGAGCGGAGATCCTCCCGCGCCAGTTTGAGGAGATCTGGGAGCGCTGTGGCGGAATCCAGTACCTGAGGAACGCCATCGAAAGCAAGCAGGCCCGACCCACCTACGCGACCGCCATGCTCCAGAACCTTCTCAAGTGAACACCGACCGTTTCTCCTCTTGGTTTACGTTATCTAAGCACGTGTAGATGTAGACAGTAAAGTGGTGTAGCTAAAACAAAAGGCTGTACAACTCTAGTGGAAGCAAATGCTGTCTAATTGACTTTTTGTTTGTAGTTTGTTCTTCATTTTGCTGTGAACTTAGAAATCTGAACTTAGAAATCTTCATACAAATCTGAGCCTTGCTTGAACCTGTTGCTCAGAGATGCCTTAAGATTTTCAGACATAATTCATAATTCAAAGAGATGTTATTGAAATATCACACCCATGTAAACCTGCTCATAAATCTAAAATACACTAGGTGTAATCTTTATAAAAGGACATTTCAGTGTGTAGTGATAGACAGTTCTTTAAAACTACACAACATAGTATCATAATCATTGTATCAATATCATAGTATCACAACAATAAACACAACACTCATGCCTTTGTACTCTTTCAGTCGCTTTATTGGTAAGGTGATGCGTGTCATTTGTTGCATGTTAAAATACAATAACCAAAAGGCATTCCCCTAAAAATGGCATTTTAAAATTGCTTTTGACCAATGGCATGGGTTTAGGGGCGGGACTATCTGTTCATTTGACAAATAGCAACTGGAGGCAGTGTTCATGCCTTTTTTCGCAGTTCCATTAGCTAGTGCCGCAGAAATGACACACTTCAACTTTTAAAATAAAATTCTCATAAGACTTAAATGGTCATTATTGTGGAGAAACATTTAATATTTTAATACACTGAATAACTATTCAAAGTATCTTTAATCTAATCAGATGATGGTGGTAAAGGTTAATGAGAAACATGCACTGGAATATCATTAGGTTGTAAATGTGGTAATAATGGCAGTGTTGTTCCAAAACATACACCATCTGAAAGTGCCTTTACATATATTTGATAATGAATTTTATAGATGCACTTAAAAGCAGCTTCAGTTCATTAAAAGGGGATAGTCACTGCTGTCGTGCATGGTTTTGCGCAGCAATTTTGTACTTAAATCATGGTGATATGCTAAAGGGCATATTCATTTCTGTTCAGTGAAGTGATAATGGCACCTTTAATGATTTGCTGTGAATTTTCTCGGCGTGTGTGGTAGATTTCTCTCATTTTTACATTTATGTACCAACTCAAGGAAATAATTAGTTTAAATGAGCTTGTACTCTGGAATGTCTCGTTATGCACTCCTCTGACCCTTTCCTATCTCTCATTTGCCCGAAGAACGGAAGCAATGGAAACAGCAATGACATTCTAAACATTCTGCAAACTTGGTACAGACCAAATTGCTGCATTTGATCAATTTGCTGTCATTATCCAGACTTTGTTTATTCATATGCTAATGTTTTTCTCCATTGAGCCCTTTCCAAATAAAAACGTGTCATCTCAAACTGTCTGTTTATCCATATTATAATTGTTAATGATTTGTTTCTTGACTGTCGTTTATCTTTGATGTGTCTGGGTTAAATATACTCTGATTTTCTTATTTTTGACTGGGCACTGTTACTCTGATCACTTTGCTAGACCAAAATACAGGTGCATCTCAATAAATTAGAATGTCGTGGAAAAGTTAATTTATTTCATTAATTCAACTCAAATTATGAAACTGGTGTATTAAATAAATTCAATGCACACAGACTGAGTGTGCTTGACTGGCCAGCAAACTCACCAGACCTTAACCCCATAGAGAATCTATGGGGTATTGTCAAGAGGAAAATGATAAACAAGAGACCAAAAAATGCAGATGAGCTGAAGGCCACTGTCAAAGAAACGTGGGCTTCCATACCACCTCAGCAGTGCTACAAACTGATCACCTCCATGCCACGCTGAATTGAGGCAGTAATTAAAGCAAATGGAGCCCCTACCAAGTATTGAGTACATGTACAGTAAATGAACATACTTTCCAGAAGGCCAACAATTCACTAATTTTTTTTTTTTATTGGTCTTATGAAGTATTCTAATTTGTTGAATTGGTGGGTTTTTGTTAAATGTGAGCCAAAATCATCACAATTAAAAGAACCAAAGACTTGAACTACTTCAGTCTGTGTGCATTGAATTGATTTAATACACGAGTTTCACAATTTGAGTTGAATTACTGAAATAAATTAACTTTTCCACAACATTCTAATTTATTGAGATGCACCTGTAAACATTCAATATGAAATCTTTGCCTTTGTAGTCATAAAGAGTTTTAGCTTTACTCAGGGACCCTGACTGTTATCTTTTAAAGTCATCATGAACGATTCTTCAGCACATGAAAATTTAAATAGACATGACATGAAATATTTACTTTATCTGCAACTGAAAGATACCTTCAGAAATACTTTTTCTGTTTGATGTAGAAACAAAGACACCATGACCACAAGTCTGTATTTTTGTCTTTTTTTTCTTGAGGTGATACCCTTAAGAGTTACAGAAATACTTTACATGCATTTTCTTTGTTTGGGACACTGAGGACAGACTAGAAGAGATGACTAGAATCTATTTTCTATTTAAGATACAACCCAATGTATCAATTTGTAAATAAATACCTCATTGTGAGGGAGGAAACAAACCTTTGACAAGGGTTCAAAGCATCCAACACATTACATGTCTCATATGCAGTTTACAATTTTTTGCAGATACAATTAAAAATAAATTCAGGATGGATATAAGTCCTCATTCTTGGAGGTATTCCTTCAGTTGGCCAAGAGGATGGCTGATCCTTGTGTAAGGCGGTTGTATCATACACTCACCAAATGTCAACAAGAAACCAGCAAAGCTGATCGCATGAATAGCGCTGAAGAGCTTTGGCGCCTCGCTTAGTTTAAAAAAGTGTCTGGACATCATAAAACAGTCACTTCAACGCTGTCACTATCAGGACTCCTCAAAAAACAGCAAGAAGACCTGCTGGACCTCCGACACGTCTGTAATATACAGCATGAGGAAAAACAACCTGGTCATTCAAGAAAATGAAACACAATATGCACAAAATCATCAGCAGTTGGGTAATGAATAATTGCCATACAACAACACACCCTCGTGTGACTATACAGCGAAAGAATGATTCGTTCACAAACTGGACATTACAGGTAATAATGTTATAAATGTTCGATTTCTTGCACAGACTGATTGTTTTACTTAATAAGACCTAGTTAATATATGGTCAGGAGCCACAAGTATTCATTTTGTGTTGCCTGATATGCGTTTTTTTGTTTGTTTGTTTTGACTCAGATGGCAGCCATCGAATTGCATTTTAAGAATCAACATGGTTTCAGCTAAAAACTTTACTGTTCTACTGAAGAAAAAAACTCTCCTACATCTCGGATAGCCTGAGGGTGAGTAAATTAAGATAATTTATTGTGGGTGAAATCCCTTCAAAGGCAAATTAAGCAACTAACCAGCACTGCTAATATGTAGCACAAGTACGTCTGCAAGATGTCTGTTAAAGATCGCTTCATCTGGAAAGCATCTGCTGTGTACAAACATCTAATATATGTCTATAAGATGTGAGTTTTACATACATTCTAAATCATAACCATTTTTATGACGTTTATTTTACATCTGACAGGAAACGTCCTGTATTGTAACACTCAAAAAAAAAAAAAAAAACTTCTTCCAGATGTAAATGCAGACGTCAAACAGCAATGAGCATGGTAACCATGGTTAATTTTCGTAATGGTAGGCTACTAATGTCAGAATTCTCTATGAAAGTCATTATTCGATCGGGAAACACACTACTCAGGTCACTATAGTGAGTCAGCGCATTGATTTTGAAACACAGCCATTGCCTTCATATTTTCGTTGTCAAGCTCATCATTCTATTGTTTACACATCCTTCATAGTTTGCTAATTTACCAGTTCCACTGCAGGACCAACATAAAGGAGGATTACTTTCAGGAATAATCAATGTATTATATTAAATCACACTTCAGTCTTCAGTCAACTCTCATCCTTCTTGCCTATAAACAATGGCAAGTATTTAAGCCTACTTGACCAAATAATGCTGCTTCTGATTGTCCAAGATATTTGTATAATTAATAACTATTTTTAAATACATACATATTTACCTGCGTTCTGAGATTGTGAAAGAAAAGTGTAATTTTCAGATTTTAAATGGAACTGAGCAGTGGCAGGAAGGACGCAACATTCCCAAAACATCTAGTTTAGTAACATTATTTCCTCTTCTATATGATGGTTGACGTTTTGATGGCAAAGATTTATCATCTTGACATAAGTCAGGCTGTCGTGATTATTTATGGTCACTGTTAACATCAAATTGGTTGTTTTCACACCAGCTTACCTCGTTATGTGGTATACACTTGATGGAAGTCAACCATTTCTGACATTAACTTTTCTGATCTTCTGGTGTAGAGTTGTCTGGGGATCTGGAAAAAGAATGGCAGACCACCATCAATCTTGAACAGTTTTGCAGTAGACAAGGTCTTGCCAAGCAAAGAAGCAAGGTACATTTTTGGCACTCTATGATAATGCAGACTGTCAATATTTTGAAGAGCAAAACATCTGTTGCTGGAAAAAATGACTGATTATTATTCATAATATCATTAGATTAGACAACTACAGATGCACTACAGTCTAAATGAGATGCAAAACCCATGCATGAATTGTTTCTAGTATCCTCCTTGAAAAACATTTCTTAATGTTGCATCTTTGAAGGTTTCAGAATGGCATTAATTTTTTTTTGTTTTTCTTTGAATACATCGTGTCTGTCACTTGTTTATAGAAGAAAATAAATTTCTGTTTTAAATCTATTTTATTATGAATATGTTCTATTGTGTTAACACTAGTGAGGATACTGATGCATGGATTTTGCTGATGTATTTCTTTAGTCTTTAGTTTCTTCCAGACAAAGAAACACTCAACAAACAGCTGATTCACTAAAAGATACATATTTTTTGCTGAGGATGCTGGCTATTCTGTACAGTCCTTCCCTTTGCATTAATATAGTCTATTGTCAAAGTTATTTTTGATTACATTGTTTTCCTATTCATTGAGGTAATTGAGTGCAATGTCTAAAGCCTGATTTTGAGGTAATTTGATCTAACAACGTCGTTTGCACTGCGCTCTTGCGTTACTTGATCTTTTTATTTTGGTGCGTCAATCTGTTGAGTTACTTAGTATAGGAAATTATGATCCGCACTCACGAGAACAGTCTTCTTTTTTCTTTTATTTTACATTCATTACTGATGGGAAAAGACACAAACGTTTCGGCTCAAAGCCTTCCTCAGTGTGTGGGAGGAGGCTTTTGAGCCGAAACGTTTGTGTCTTTTCCCATCAGTAATGAATGTAAAATAAAAGAGGTAATTTGATCTAACATTTTATTTATTGATTCATTTATTTTTTATTATTGCTCATAATATATTCTGCAACAAATATTACACATATTCTCATTTGGTAGCTAATAAGAATCCCTGAAAGAATATTCTGTGCATCTATATTAATCTATATCAATACAATCCCTCTGAGGCCTGTTGCCCTACACTTTGGGTGAATGTCCCTTTAACTGGTTTATACTAAGATTATTATTTTTATTATACACTAAGATTATAAATTTTTAATAAAAAGGAATATATACACTGTTTCAAAAGTTTTGGGTTCAGTAAGATTTATTTTGAAAGAAGTTAATACTTTTTATTCAGCAAGGATGTGTTAAATTGATCAAAAGTGACAGTAAAGACATTTATAATGTTAAAAAAATATTTCTAATTCAAGTAAATGCTGTTCTTTTGAACATTTATATTCATCATAAAATCCTAATAAGAAATGTATCACGTTTTTTTTTACGAAACTATTAAGCAACACAACTGTTTTCATCTGTGATAATAAGAAATGTTTCTTGAGCACCAAATCAGTATATTAGTATTATTTCTGAAGGATCATGAAGACACTGAAGACTGGAAAAGTACATTTTTTTTTATTTTTTTTTTACAGTTTTAAAAAAAAATGTGACCCTGTACCACAAAACCAGTCTTAAGTCGCTGGGGTATATTTGTAGCAATAGCCAAAAATACATTGTATGGTTCAAAATTATTGATTTTTCTTTTATGCCAAAAATCATTAGGATATTAAGTAAAGATCATGTTCCATGAAGATATTTTGTAAATTTCCTACCGTAAATATATGAAAACTTAATTTTTGATTAGTAATATGCATTGCTAAGAACTTCATTTGGACAACTTTAAAGGCGATTTTCTCAATATTTAGATTTTTTTGCACTCTCAGATTCCAGATTTTCAAATAGTTGTATCTCGGCCAAATATTGTCCTATCATAACAAACATCAATACCATACATCAATGGAAAGCTTATTTATTCAGCTTTCAGATAATGTATAAATCCCAATTTCGAAAAATTGACCCTTATGACTGGTTTTGTGGTCCAGGGTCACAAATTATATTAAAATATTAATGTTTCACATGTTGCTATTCTTATTGTATTTCAGAAACTTCTTTCAAAAACATTTTTTAAATCTTTACGACCCCAAACATTTAAACAATATTATATTTTGGAAGATGGTAGCCTATACAAGAGATATTGTAGGCTCTCAGGCTACTAGACTTTGTTCACACTGCACGCATATTCAGTTTCATATTCAAATCCTAAAAAATTCACTGAGGGCCATTCAAAATTAGCTGTGTAGTCTGACAAAATAAAAATTCAGTTGAGTGGAATAGGAATGTTAACAGGTTGCCTTTTCTAGGCATCTTACTGTACATTAGACCTCCTAGAACAATTGCAAAAATCTGATTTTCACCAGATTTCAAATGAGATTTTTGCTGTTCTGACACCTAAAAAACGAAACCGATTTGAGTCAGATATGCCCCCCCCAAAAAATATTTTTTGCGGTCTGAACAAAGCCTGCTGTAAATGTGACTGTTGTCATTGCAAAGATATTCATAACAAGAAAAGTTAGTCCATCTTCTCCACAAAATCTCTAACAAAGGACATAGATAGGATTTAATGAGAAATGGGATGATTATGGATGTTAGTAGTGATTATGACATTGATTTAAATAGATCATGAAAAAGACCATCTTGGCAGTACACTTTACCTCAGTACTAAGCTGTAAACTTTCAAGTGATCGAAATGTGCCTTGGCCTGAGTGTTGTGAGGAGGCTGAGTCAGAGCTCATGGGACAGAGCATGCTTGACACATGTGTTAAGACCCCATCGTCATTCTCAAAAACTGGATTTACTCTCATAGCATTACCAAATGGGAATGCTGATTGTGAATTCCTATAATACAAAGGAGATCAGGTCTTAACACCAGCATGTTTAAAACGGGTCACCATGAAAATCCAAATCTGTGAAGAAAAATCAAATGTCTAAATAAAAAGAAAAGGGGGAAAAAGATAACCCTGCTTACACAAGTCTTATGGTCTTTCTGGTCCGTATGCATTTCTTGTTAATGAAAATCAAGATGCCTATCACAGCACAAACCACTGAGAGGCTTCCCACAAGGCAGGCTATGGAAAGGAGAGGGTCAAGTGGCACAGACACCAATTCGTTGCAGCGTTCTCCATGGTAGTGCCAGAATTTACCTAAAGGACATCTAAAAGTGGTTGAGAAAAAACATGTTAGAAAAAATGTGGAATGGATAGAAATGTGTAATATCCCTATCCGTATGACTATTGCCTCTCTAGAATTTTCAGCTGTCTGTCACTTTTTGATCATTTTCTCAGTCACATAACAAGGGGTCAGGGTTTGGCTGCTTAGTTTGGTTTGCCCCTCAGGTCGATGCTATAAAAGAACAATTTTCAATCAATAGTAGCCACGTGTTCTGATAAAAAAACAAAAAAACAACAACATTTGGGTCATTCTCAAAAAAATAAATGAAATAATTATAAAATAAAAATAAAACTTTTTTTAGAATTCAGTTAAGTTTGGTTACCTATCATACTAAAATCGATAAGTTCAATCAAAATTCAAAATTTTTTCATTAAAAAAAATTGTCACTCAAACAAACAATGCAACACCAATTACACATTTAATTGATCCATTTGAAATAAATATATAAATAAATGTAGTGAAAGTAAATGTAATGATATTTATTAACTTTTTCTACATTGTGGGAAAATTGTCAGCCTCTTCTTCCTATGAACTTTGACCTTGGCTTGGAATTACTTATTTAAATTCCACTTTTTAACAATAAATGGCAACAATGGCAAAAAAAAAAAAAATTTAATTTAGGAATTTTATATTAATAATTACTTATTTTGTTTAAAGTTTTACACACTTGTTAGACCTTGCATTAACTATTAATAAAATACCTATAAATGTTATAAAAAGTGAAGGGGACAAGGTATTCCAGGAACTTGATAACTATAAACAATAAAATAATGTGCAAAACATTATCAATCTATAGTCAATCCATATAATAAAATTGAACAAACTGTTGAAATTTTGTTTTACATAACCTCTCAGAAAAATCACCAAAAGTGGTACCTGTGCCACTATGGAATTACCCTTTGTACTGTACCTCATTTTACCTTGCATTACTACCTTAAGGGTACATACACATTGTAGGGGTAAATACGGTAAAAAATTGTACCTTTAAGGGTACTTCCCCAGTGACAAGCTGTTGTACCCTTAAAGGTACAATTTTTACACTATATTTTTCTGACAGTGCAGGTGAAGGACTTGGGGCTGTTTGCTCAGGTGATATTGATGTTACCCTATGTCCTTGTAATCATCATTGAAATTAATGGATTTGCAGCATAAACTATATTGCAGGTTTTTCTTTTTTTATCCGCTTTCTCATGTTAACGTATACCTGCAGGCCGCTCCGTGTCCTGGTATGATTTCACACAGGCCTCCGTTCAGGCAGTATTCAGGCTGTAGGTCACAGATGCTGGTGCAGGGATTGCCGTCCACCGTGCTGTAGCCCGGATCGCACAGACACTCGGGTTCTGTGGTTAACGTGTTCACCACGCAGCGGGAGAACTCGTTACATGCCATAAACTTACATGGATCTGCGTGATTGGCTGGATTAGACAATAAGGAGTAATTGGCATTGAATACTTGTGGCCAGACACACAAAGATGCTTAAAGACTTAATACAGGTGTGGTTATCCTTTTACGTTAATGTGGATGCTTTAGTTTACTGTTCTGCCCCATTCACATGACAACATTTTTAATGTTGGAAACCGCTGGTAGGTCTTTCTAATTCTGGATGCCTTAATGTTATTGGTGGACTTTGTAGATTTCAATAATATTCGAAAATCTCATTACAAATGAGTGATATTTGAACTTGACAAGGAATCAGTCTTGTTGCTAATAATTAACATGTGGAGATGAAATCGCCAAGTCACAATGAAATTGAATGACTCTTTGTCGCTTTTTCACTGCAAATCGTAGTCAGTGTGAACAGAACTTTCTTAACCCTCATAATGCATTCAGGTCTGTTTTGACCTGGAAGAGTTTTTAGAAATGGAACAAAACTTTAAGAATGCTTTAAGACCATCAACATACACATAATTTTTTTGTTTTTCAGGTTTTTCATTTATTTATTTATTTTTTTTACAATTATTTTTTAAATGTTACATGTTGCGTGTTTGGGTCATTTTGGGCCAAGGTACGTATGTACTATCATGTGGTGTCAAAATACTTTTTTGTTAAATTATCTATAAAGTTATATTAGTGTTAAAAAAAACTTTTGTAGAATATATTTAGCCTTTTCTCACACACTTCTGAGACTGTAACTTTGTTGATAAACATGAATATGTACAGTACACCATTGCAGCATGAAAAATTGAAAACTTTTTAATCTGAAATGCAATGTATTTTATTTAAAAACAAAATATGTTAGTTGATTTGTTAGAAATAAGAAGAAATAAGATTTCTCATCAGTATTGAAATATATATTTTGCATCATAATATTTGTTGTTGTTGTTGTGGTTCGTGTGTAATTTTAAATATTTATGAGAGGTTGCTGATCAGAATACCATATGGTTTTAACTGAAAAATATTAAGTTATGACTGTTTTATAAAACAACGATTCTTCGGGTCCAAATGGACCTGGAATGTGAAAATCGTATACAAATTTTGAATCCATTATGAAGGTTATAAAGGGATAGGCCTACTTCACTCAAATATGAAAATTCTGTCATCATTTACTCACCCTCATGTCCTTCTAAACCTGTATGACTTTTTTTCTCCGTTTTTTTCAGCGGAACACAAAAGAAGATATTTTGAAGACCATTTGGTCCCCATTGACTTCCATTGTATGGATGAGACTTTTTTTTCTTTATCTTCAGAAAGTCATATAGGTTTGGAACAACATGATGGTGAGTAAATGATGACAGCATTTCTGAGCGAACATTTCTTTTAAGTAACTACCCGATTTCTTCTTTCAACACCGTGCTTACCTGGTTCCACATCCACTGACTGGGAGTCGATTTCCAAGTCCAATCTCTTAGACGCCGCATTGCAGAAGTCCTCGAGCACACACTGAACGGTCTCCGTAACATTGTATGGAACCGGTTTGTTTAATTTCATCTTGCTGTTTACCACCACACTGCCTTTCTTGAAGTTCAGAATCTCCAGCTCCTTAAATCCAGTCAGGTTGGACTGTAGATATGGCAGGAGCTGTGGGGAAGCAGAGATAAAAGTGAAATGAGTGAGCTGCGACTTCTCTTTCATCATTGCTGACTAGTGCAGACTGGTTAATTGTGCATGAATGTAATGCAGCACAGATGTGAAACTTTTGGGATTGTCAATTCTGAAGCAATTCTCCTCAATTGCTAGAAAATGAACGATTTTGGCCAGTGTCTGTCTCTCATCCTATTACAATATGCAAAACCTTCTAACTGCTCATTTCATTCTGTATGAGGAGGGCCAGTTAGAGATAAAGACGGTTGTTCAGGAGAAATGAGGCGTAGCAGCTCAGTCATTCATCACGGCTCAAGATTTCAAGAGCTTGATTGCACCAGTCACACAAAAGATGGACGACTTGAGGATATGATATATTCGCATAAGAGTCCCAGAGATTATTAGTTTTGAAAATCTCTCAAATTTGCGTATTATTTATTAATTCACCATTTTTAGCCTTACCATTTTTGTTTAATGTAATGAATTAAAGAGACAATATTTTTAATCATTTAATAATGCTTTTATTAAAGTCAGGAATTAAAATTTTAAATCTGAAAGTCAAAAAAGAATATCTTTTTACATTTTTAATTAAAATGAAGATGCATCCAAAATACATTTAATATTTTAAATGTTTCATTAATATTTTAATTTGTATTTTAATTCGTATTGAATTCTAATTAAATGGTGTGTAATTAAAATATTAAATATTATTAATTATTTAATAGTGAATGGCGAGTGAGAAGTAGCACAAAAGGAGTGAAGGCCATGTCTGTATAATACGAGGTAACTAACAATTGTAAATATTTAATAAAAATGTATCATTCAAAATAGAATTAATATTTTAAATAATTTTAATGAATATATTTTAATATAATGGATGAATATATTACATATCATTAATACTTGAATTATTTGAAATGTAAACTTTAACATTTTTGAAATTTTTTGTTTAATTTAATTCCAATTAAACGTTTATTTTAAAATATTAAATATTATTAATCATTTAATAGTGAATGGAGAGTGAACAAGGAGAGTGCATGTAAAGTAAGCGCACGTCTGTATAACAGGAGGTAATCTGTATTTGGATCTGCCAGTCATGATCAACCTCTCACCTCTCGGCTAAGTGCCAGGGCAGAGCAGGTGTCATTCTTCCCCACAGGGCACGCTGTGACTCAGAGCTCAGCCTCAGTCAGTGTTACTGTCTAGCTCATGCCAGTGTCGTGACCTTTGATTGCTGTCACAGGACAGAAGGAATCATCTAATATATACAGTAATGCTCATTTCCAAATAGGTAAAGGAATTATCACAGACAGCAGCATTGTAGCATATCCCTATTCTCATGCACGGTGCTTACACATGTATCTACTGGTTCATAGGGGTCTCTTTTAGTGCTGTTCTGTTCTATAACATTTGATTATATTTAATACTTAATAAAAATATATTTTAAAAATGTAATCATATTTTAATGAAAACATTAAATACTTTTTGTTCTCCGTGACCAGTCGAGATGGTTGCTACACAAACCAGTAGAGACAGGAGTAAATGAGCATCCTACAAGGTTCGAGAGGCTGAAATCAATACAAACCTAGTATAGGACTAAAATATTACAGCTTTCTCTACAAAAGCTACCGAAACGTTGAATTATAATTGGGCGAAATTGATGTGTACGGTGGAAAATCAATGTTCCTTTTGCAGAATTTGCAAGAACATAAATATCTAGAGGTTATCAGATTGTCCTTTAAAAGCCCATTTATGAATCAATGAACTAATTTTATGGCCATTTCACCTAGATACTTACCACAGCAGCTTGTGACCAGAGTTTTAGTAGTTCATGTGATAATCCAAAAGGTCTCAAAGCACTGGTGTTAATCTGGTGACTTGAAACTACAACACAATGCTAGTTTGGGCAACCACTTATTATTGGAAATGGAGTCTTTGTGTCTTGGGATTCATACAAATTTCAAAATTGAAAACGAGATCTGACAGAACAGAACCTAAGATGTTGCAAGTTGTACAAGAGTCCCTAAAGCCGTAGGAGCTGTGTTAAGTAAATTATAAAGATAACAAACTGCACACAAGATCCATTAGGAATAGCCGTTTACTATTTAACACACATGAAAACCAGTCTGGACCAGTGTAGATTTTTAAAATATGTATCTTACAAGAGATTGCATTCGGCCAAAATCATTCAAAATAAGCCACAAAAGCAGCTACTGTGTCTCTGTGAATTGCTTTTATTACAAAGAATTAATTGAGCGGTTAATTTCGAAATCAAAAAGTGCTTTGTCATTGATGTAACACTCACTTTGGAAACAGATTACATTCAAGGACATGCGTCTCACCGAAGAACAATTCAAAATCATTAGGCTGCCTAACCAACTAAAAGCAGATTTAGAGAAACAAAACTAGACAGCAAGTCCCTGAGGTAGGGTATTGTTTGGCATGCTCTGTGTTTTTGGTCTTTTAATTCAACAAGATTGTGAAATTGGTTCCTCTGTGTTTTACACAAATAGGAAAACAATATTCCTTACAGATATACAGTTTAAGCAATTTATATGAGCACATAACTCCTATAATGCCTACTGTATATGCACATTTTCTATGCACGTTTTATTGTTAGTGTGCACTGAGATCCTGAGAAACCTGAGAAATAAGGCAACACTCACACTATCTAGAATACAACAGGTAACAAAAATATGTTGCAGGTTGGGCAAATGGAGCAATAGAGTAAGCGTTTAGCTTTGGTTAATGCTGGTTAGAGAGCTCATTGATCAGCAGTTAGTAAAGACCGTTTTTGATCAGTAAGATCAGAAGTGGGAAGTTCTTAGACAAAAGTGCAGAATTTAGTGCCAAAAAGTGATTAATTATGCTTTTTCAAATTTGGATATAGATGTACCGGTATTGAGGCTAATGTCTTCTGTTCTCTCTCAGTCACTTGACTAGAAGCCTCAGGGTTTGGCGAGTCACTTGGTTCAGAGAATTGTCTCTAGTTGAAAAAACTGGATATTACAAAATATTATCTGAATAAAAACAACACCACACTTATTTGTGAAAGTGTAATATGATTGGCCAAGAGGTGTTCTGAAAATTCCATGTTTCTAACACTCCTGTACATGTTGTATATGAGTGTAGTGGTACAGAGTGGAAGTGGAGTGTTTTTCCATGGACGAGTACCAGGTTTTTTGAACGTTGTAGCATTTGTGTTTTCTCTTGTGTTAGGATTGTTCGGGGCAGGTTTTCACTCCAGTGAGCATGGAGTGACCGGGGAGTTGGAATGGAGTGATTATGCATCACTTTGAACAGGGAGGAAAAACTGCTCCACTCATACGCAGTTCAAGTTGCTTGGTGGCATGCAAAGCTTAATGCTTTGGTTTGTTCTGGAACAATTTTCATTGGCAGAAAAAAAAAAAAACTGGTGAAATTTTGTCTAAAACTTAAGTTTCGTTCGCGATTGTGACTACCTGGAGCCTTATGCCTACAATCAAATGAACTGCAGCCGTGCCGATATTCAGCACTACACCACTCTTGTATGTGTGAGATTGCTTAATTATGTTTTGAAATTGCCATACAGGATTTCATTCTGTGTTTTTCTGCCTAAATTGAAATGTAAGGTAAACAAAGTTCAGAGCAAAACATTTGAAGTGACAAAATAAGTATCCTTACTCAAAATGTACAGAAATGTAATTCATTTTTCTGTCAGTCACCCAAACCCTTTATACAAAGGCTTTATAGAAAAATGTATATTGTATTTTGAGCAACACTGTTCTCAGATGCCTTCTGTCAAATCCCTGCAGACAAATGACACACTTTATCTATTCAGTTTTCCCAGCATGCACTGCGCACAAATAAAAAAAAGTACAGCTAACAACAAATGGAGGATAGAAAGGCAAACAGCAAGATAAAGTCAAAGACAAAAGTGTGTTTACCTACCAGTTCAAGAAACGTGTTCTCCAGTGATTTGTACTCGGGGGAACTCTTGTTGAAAAGATCCTCCGAAAACATCATATTAGTCACACGTAAACTAAAAAACACCACTAACTCTTTGGCCTGGTTAGAAGCCATCATTGAAGAAGTGGTAACGTAACCTAGAGGATGAGCTGAGGACTGTGGATTCTCGTTGACCTCTGAGGGGAATCCACTCCCAGGGTCCAGAGTGTTGTCCTCCTCATCAGACTGTTCAACATCTTGTGTTTCTCTATCAATATCTGTACTATCTTCATGTGGGGGAGGTGGAACTGTCCAGAGAGTCTGTCCCTCTTCATCCAGGAAATTGTCTGGGGTCAGGTGTGAAATGAGGTCTTCTGTGGGTGTTAGCTCAGAGGGAATTGCTGCAGGGAGAATTGGTTCTGGAGTGGTAAGTCCAAGTGGAGGCACCTTTCGATGGATTGTGTCTACGGTGGCACCGACAGATGGAGATTCTACATGGTCACTAAGGTCATTTGAAGTGGGCGACTCAACTGGACCTTTAGGGTATGAAGGAAGACCTTCGGTAGAGGTCTCTAAAGGTTCGAAGGGGCCAATTGTGTCATCTTCATGAAATATAACATCTTGAGCTCGCTCAGTAGGGGTTGGGGATGTCAAGATTGATGATGTTGCCTCTGCAGGAGTCGCCTCTGGTGTTATATCAAAATCTATTTCCGGTTGAGTTGAAGTAGATGCTTTTGCTACTTCAAAAGACTCTAAGTCCAGTGGTGCAGCTGTGGCAACAATTTCATTTCCCACATCCTCATTGACTTCCGACCACTTTGATTGGTAATCCACTGTAGTGGTTCTTTGCCAACCTTGAAAACAAAGAACCGGTTTCAGAGAGTGTCTTTGAAAATGCGTTCAATGCAAAATTACAATTAATACTCTCATTTTTAGGCTGTCTAACTTAAAGGTCTTGGTTCAGAAGCAACTGCTCTTGTACACTACTCACTACAAATATGAAAGATTTACCTTCGGTCGCTGAAGTGACTTCAGTGGTTAGACTTGCCGTCTTTGAACCGTCAAGATGGGAGCTGTTAATTAGCTCTGTGGTTACTGGTTGTGTGGGAACGTGGGATGATATATCAGCTAATTTCTGTATATCACTCCTTTCTGTCTCCTCACCCAAATCTGTTTGAGTCCTATCAGGGCCCAGATCTCCAAAAGACATGCCCATACTTCCAGAAGGTGCTATAGTGTCCTCCGAGTTGGCTTTTGTGGACTGTGTACTCATTTCAATTGATTCTTTGCTGATTTCAGTACTGGATCTCATGCTCTCTTGCTTGCCTGCTGTTAAAGAGTCTGTACAGGGCGAATCAGGTAAGGTTAAATATTTGCAGTCTGTCTAGGGCTCTTATATTGATTGTATTGATTTTGTGTACCTGGTTCGAAAGTAAGGGAAAGCACGTCCACAGGAAGTGATGTGTCCTCACTTAGCGCCTTGACCACCATGCCCTTTAGGACTCCCTCTATGCCATATTCATCAGTGGAGTCTGTGTCACCTATGGCCCGTGTCCCATCAGTCTCAAACACTACAGCATAGCTTGCTGCAGCACCTTCAGAGCTGACCGATATTACGAAGGGAATTGGTTTGCACGGACTTGTATTAACCTGATTGACTGTCTTAGCCCTCATGTTCCCTTTAGGACTGAAGGACCCCAAGGCCGTTTTAATAGCTCAAAAAAACATACTTATCATTGGCCTGTCAGGTTGATACTTAATGATTTTTTTTTACATTTACATTTACATTTAGTCATTTAGCAGACACTTTTATCCAAAGCGACTTACAAATGAGGACAATAAAAGCAGTCAAAACTAACAAAAGAGCAACAATATATAAGTGCAAATGACAAGTCTCGGTTAGCCTAACGCAGTACACGTAGCAAGGTGTATATAAATATATATATATACACCTTCACACACACTCACTCACTCACTCACTCACTCACTCACTCACTCACACACTCACTCACTCACTCACTCACTCACTCACTCACTCACACACACACACACTTTCACACACACTCACTCTCTCACTCACACACACACTCTCTCACTTACTCACTCACACAC